ATATAATATTTTTAATAAATGTTTGTATGTTTAATCCTGTTCATATATCTAAAAATAAATTACTTTATTTTGGAAATACGTTCAGGTCACAAGTTTTCATTTCAATTTCATGACCAGAGTTGGTGTCTTGTCATTTTCTGAGACTTCATAATGCAAAGATCTTGCGTAGGAGATTACTTTGTGAGATAGAGCTGGTCTTAATTTCATAGAGTGAGTTCTTACAGGTTAAAAAAGCTCTACTATCCCTCAACTCATGCAAAGCAGCAGGTCCGGACAATAAAGAACCATTTTTTCAAAAACTAACTGCAGAGTTCATTGCTGAACCGCTCACGTACATTTACAATCTCAGTCTCAACACAAACACAATACCMAACGTCTGGAAATCAGCTTTTGTCAGCCCCCTACTGAAAGGTGGGGAAGCAACTGATGTCAATAACTATAGACAATATCCAAATTATGTATCTTGGCAAAACTGTTTGAAAGACTAGTCTGTGATCAGTTAACTGACTTCCTTGAGTTTAACAATATTCTATCACCATTCCAATCAGGCTTCAGGAAACAGCACAGCACTGCTACCACAACTCTCAAGGTTCTAAATGACATCATACTGTACATACCCAGAACTGTAAAAAATATAGTGCTGTACTATTTATTGATCTGTCCAAAGCCTTCGACACTGTTGACCACAGATTCATGTCAAACATCCTGGAACTTTCTGGTCTCTCAAAACAAGCCGTCTCCTGGTTCAGCAACTATCTGACTGACAGAACACAGTCTGTTCATGTGGCAGGATCCTCCTCTAGTTCCCAAAATATTGTGAAAGGGYTGCCACAGGGTTCAGTCTTAGGATCCATCTTATTCTCTTTATATATAAATGATCTGTGCAGTAAACTGTCAAATACCTCCTACCATTTTCARGCTGATGACACCATGATCTACTGCTGTTCATCCTCGCTCAGCCAAGCTTTCAACTACCTCCAGGACACTTTCAACCTCATCCAGTCCCGTCTTCAAAAACTAAAACTGGTATTAAAAAACAAACAAACAAATTGAAATCTGCTCCCCTTACAAATATCTAGGATTCTACATTGACTCTGACATTTCATTTAAAGCTCACATTATTAAAATGGCAACTAAGCTCAAACTGAGACTAGGTTTTTATTTCAGAAATAAGTCCTGCTTTTCATGTAAAGCCAGGAAAACATTAGTAGCTGCAWCATTCATGRCTATCTTAGACTATGGTGACATGCTGTACATGACTGCTGCATCAAAATACCTGCAATCCTTAGATTCCCTTTACCACAGCGCTCTCCGGTTCATCACTGATTCCAACTATCTCACTCATCACTGTGAGCTGTACGTTAAATCAGGCTGGTCATCGCTCGCAGATACACTCACTGGAAATCCTTCGTCTATAAGACCCTCCTGAACCTAGTCCCATCATATCTTACCTCCTTATTACAAACATCACACAGTCAATATTCCCTGCGCTCCAATGATCGAGTCCTCCTGTCAGTTCTTCCTGTCAGAACTGAACTAAGGAAAAAAGTGTTCAGCTTCGCTGCCCCCTCAGCCTGGAACAATGTACAGACAGATCTAAAACTATCAACACTCATCTCTCTTAGATCCTTCTTGTCCATCTTCACTGATAACATTACAAAGAAGTTTGATCCATGCAGATGTTTTCTTGTCTCTACTTGTTCACTATAACTGTTAGTGCTGATCTCTCATCTGATTTCTTATTCGTTGAGTTTTTTATTATCTTGTTTGAATTTGTAAGAATAAGTGTTTGATTAATTAATGTCGCACTAATCAACTGTAAAAAAATCACTATGCCGTGACTGGTAAGTACTTTGGTTTATATGTTTTAAATGACAAAATGTCTCAATATGTTTTTTAACTATTTGTGT